TCCAACAGCTATAACAGCTATTGGGGGACACTCCCTGCTCAGCCAATGGCTCCCATAATTGTTTCTAACCTCCAGTTTATCAACAGAGCCATTAGCTTCAATACCGGGGAAAGGAAAGGGTGTCGGTATCGCTACGATCACACGCTTGCCTCATGCAAAGCAGCCACTGCAAGTCGAAAAAGGCAGCGAAAAAGTGATGGGCAGTTTATGGTACCTGGTACCGGTACCAACCTCAATCATGCTATGCTTAAAGCTTCATACCCCTCCAAATCCATGACTCCCAGAGTTTTCAAGTTTTCTCTACTAGCTAGTACGACACTTTCGAAGGAATTTACTCGCGGATTACTAGTAGCGGCACACCGGTACTCCTCGGAGCGCTCCTGAACCACCGTGACCGCAGCCGATACCGGTGGTACCGGTACTTGTACGGTGTACGCTACCTCATACGGTACCTGGTAGCTTGTTGTAATTGCTAGCTATTATTTGGCCATTGGCTTGGTCAGCGAAGGTATTCGTTGTCGATTACCGGGTCCATGCTCTATTTCGAAACAAATCTCCCTGTGTGCATCGCGATGTGCTCGTTATCGTTGCACGTTAGCTGCTGTATCGGCTGAAACGTTGTCTCCTGCTTGAACGGAAAGTCCATGGTATTGGTGGCAGACGGCTGGGATTGCTTCGTTTGGCCTTGTTGCTACACTGTACTGATAAAAAGTAGCAGCCACCAATCTATGATGTCCTGCTTGCCGAAAAGCATAGAGGGTCTTCCAGCCGTCGATTGTACTAAAGGATCAGTGAGATGCAGAATGCATTTGAAAGTGAAGCAGCGGTGGAATCTCCGTTACCGGTACCCGTTGTGGGGGTACGACTACTAAAATACCAGCTAGAGTATCCACGAGATCCAATATTGGGCTGATCCTCAGCTTTCCTGTCTCCACATCTATTGTGGTGGCAAATTAGACTACGTGGCAGAAAGAGTTGGTTAGGACATCTTAAAGTGAAGGGCCGCGAAGCATGCAGAAATCAGAGATCAACCTGCTCTCGTCAATGGGACATTTCGTCTGCGAGAGCACATGACCGCCATAATATTAGAGCATTGACACAGACGAGGACCGATTCTCCTAATCTCCGCCACCCGTGCTGCCTCTATCCTTTGGCTCTTGCTACGGTACTTGGTCGTGTATGTACGTTGTGTCGCGTGGTTTGGCTGTGCACGGGTACTGTCCATGGGAGTGGACTGGATGTGCTTGCCTGTACTATATATCTGCTTCTTCCAGATGCTACAGGGCCAGGTACATAGTTGTGGACTATACATACATGTAATACCGGTATTCTGCTAGCTAGCCCGATGCGTATGGTAGTCTGTACTATTAGTAGTCTAGGTGTAAAGTAAACGTAGCGTGTGGTTTCGTCGGCTAGAATGAATCGAATCAAAGCATGTATCCTCGTTGTCGAGAAAGCGACACAACGGCACCATATGTACTGTCAAGTCACATGACTGCTAGTTAGCTGTAGGCAGCCGCATTTTCCCTCCCTTTTTCTTGCTGTATGATGGTAATAAACGGGAGGATAGAATGAGAAAAAACGCGAAAGAGAAGCGGAAGTGAGCACAGCGAGCTAGTTTGTACATTGATCTTTGTCATGTTGTCTTTTTGAAGCAATGCACAAGGCAAGGCACGTACCTTTCAAAGTAATAGTAAAAGAAATCGACGTAGAGCAGTGTCTGTAGTACGCCAGCAATGTATGCGACCCAATGATGATGGTACCCCTTTTCGGTGTAGGCTCTGTAAATCCAGTTCAGAATATAGAGGGCCCTGTATGAACCCATGAAGAAGATGTAGTTTCCAGTAAGGTTTTCCACTTCTCCGTATCGTTGCAGGACAATGAGTTGTGGTACAATGGCAATGGCTTCCAAGTATATGGAGAATGTCCATAGCATCTTGAAGAGATGTGGGGTGGTCCCGTCTGTGATGAGCTGGGTGATGAGTGCCACCAATGCGCAGGGAGCAACGGCAAATTTCCAATGCATAAAAGTATCTTGCGATTGATCGTACGTGGACTTGATGGGTTCTTGGAATCGAATAGTGTACACGATGGACGCCGTCGAGAGAATGTAGAGCACCTTCATCACCGAGTTGTAAACCGAGTAAAAGTGGAACAACAGATCTGAATACCGAGTCACAAACACTAGCAAGAACAGCTCGTGTGTTCGAACCGAGATTCCTAAAAAGTAAGATAAGATAAGACAATAAGATCATTGGTCAGACCATGCACGATTAGCTAGAACAACGGTAGCAAATGGTATACTATACCTAACTAAGACTTACCCTGAGCGTTTTTGGCCACCCTTAGCCTCAGAAGCAAGACAAGGATGGAGAAGACATGGCACATGTCTCCACACAGACGAAACACGTTCATCGACATGGTACTACTAGTACTGATACTGTAGCTATTTAGCAATCAGTTCCTACAATGTCGTTGTTGGTTGTTAGGTTGCAAATGCGCAAATGCCAATGGATCCTACTAACTAGTGCATCCTACAGGGGGGGTCGAGATACTGCCCTGTCCTTGCTGTCTCCATTGGGGTGCGGGATAAGAAGCACTAAACCGTCGAAGCTGCTCTATTTCGTTGCTGGCGTACTCTGTAACGCACCAGGTATGTCTAATTGCAGGAGGGGTAGTTTAAAAAAAATACAGGACATTGTATTTGCTCATCTCTGGCTAGCCACCATACCGGTATCATACCTGGTAGCTAGTCCACAGGTAGCTAGCTAGGGTATCCGTTTTGTATTGGTATGGGTACGTTTTGCCATACCTGAATGAACGAAGTAATCAATCCGTGGTCTTTCCAGCCAACACTACAAGTACTACGGTACTGTACTAGCTACCGTACCGGCACCGCTACCGGCGCCTACAAGTACATACTCTGTACGACTGTACTTGCAAGGCTATCCGCACTTGGCACAAACAAACAGCGGCAATTGGAACTAATGCAAGTGAGGTATCTTTTGGGGAAACAGAGTTCATTCAGTTACTGGGAGACCCTGTGCTAGACTTATAGGACAGCCACTTAGTGTCTTTTTCGAATTCCAATCAGCTGTCTCATGAATCACAGGGATGGGGTAGAAGCTCATTTTGCATAAAGTGATTACTATTACGGGTAGTTTCTCGATCCCCCTGAAACATCAGACACAAGTCTTATGGTTCTGTCAGCTGTCAATACCGCCAAGACATTGTCTGAGTAAATAGAATTAACGTCATGTGCAAAGTTCGTAAAGACATAGTCCTATTCTTTATGTTCTAATGCTTTCCCCCCAGAACCAATCTTTTATCCAACAACATAATAAAATAAACATATTGTTGTTGGTCGTGGAGCGATCTTGTCCAAACGCGAACCGCAGCCAAATCTTGGCCGTTGGCTTCTTCTTGCAACAACCAAACTTCTTTACCAAAGATACCCATAGTTATAAAAGTAGTATTGAAGAAGCAACCATGAGCTCTCCTTCTCCCTCTACGTCTACGCCTACGTCTACGTCTCCCTCTACGAGTGGTTCTGTGTTTCGGTTTGTGGTCAAGTGGATCCTCTTGCCGTACTTGATTGGTTGGTTTCTCTCTGACTATGTCCCCACAGAAGTGGCTGATAAGGTTGTGGGTAGCATCATGGCTACTGCTGGTAGTAGTAACCATCAAGTCAAGAAGGGCACCAATGTGAGCAGTGTCTTTGCCAGTGCTACCAGGAGTGCTGCTAGTACTACCAGTAATAGGGAGTTGGAGGAAGGCTATGGCGATTTGTGCTGGCAGCGCTTCCTGGCTTCCTTGGACATGAATGATGCCAAGAGTGTGCAAGAGCTGCAAGAGTTGCAAGCAAAGCAAGCTGGACAAGGAGATGGTGAAGAAGGAGAAGCTGAAAAAACAGGAGTCAAGCTGGTGCTGCATCATAATGGCAATGTCCAAGGCTGTGGCAGTTCTTGGAATTTTGTGGGCGACCTACGCACCTCTCTCAATCAATTGGCCATGGGAGATGAGGAATGTCCAGTGGCGTTCACCAAGTACGAAGTGGAGAGTATTCTCACAAGTGTCTTTCATCAGTCCATGGGAGCTTCTTGCTTTTCTCAAGAAGCAGACAGACACGAATGGGAGGGATTCCTCGGGTACTGTGACATGGGAGAACCAAAAACACCCATTCTACTCGATCACAAAAAATTGGTCCCAGTTTCCATGGATGTCATTACCAACAACAACAACAAAAAGCCAGAAACAAAAACATATCTCCCTTGTCACTTTCATTCCAGAGAAGGAGTCAGACTCACTTCCTTTCAAAAGATTGTGCAACGCATTGTACAAGCATATCAAGACAATAATAACAACAACCAGGAGTGTCAGCAGGAACCAGAAAATGAGGATCCACAACAACAACCACAACAAACTTGTAGTACTACCGCCGAACAAGAAAAACAGGTCGGTGTCTATGCTGTGCCAGCCGGAAGAGTCTTCATGTTTGCACCCGCCTATGTGGGAGAAATCTTTGACCTTCCTCATATCCAAGGAGCCGATCCCAGTGTGCCAGTCTACATGAAGGTACTGTCCGTATCACCCAGAGTCTTTGATTTATTCAACTACTTCACCAGAGACGAATCCGCCGGACTGGTCGAAAAGGCAATTCGAGAAACATCCGACTCACATCGGATCAAACGATCCTCCACGGGGGCTTCCGGATACAATATCAATACGAGACGAACGTCGGGTACGTACCGGTACAGTACATTACGCAAGTTCCGTTTAGTTATGTTCGACAGACGTCTCATGTTTTCTATCTTCTATCTATTGTTTCCATGTATTTGCGAAAGAGAGCGGTTTCGACACCCATGGCACCATCGCTCAAGCCGTAAAGAGGTAGGTCGATCTGTTCGGCCGGATGCATAGATTGATGCATCACTAATTTGGCGGAGCGCGATTCAACATTCACGCTTCGATTGGATTCCTCACACCACACGATTTATTTCAATTTTGTCAACCTAGACGATGCTTTTCTGTCTTGGGATTCGATGAATACATTGAAGGACACTCAGATGGTCTACAGATTCTTAGGTACAACCAGACAAAGGCATACACGGCGCACATGGACTGGATCGATGATGATGGGAAACAGGGTGAGCTTGTTCCATTGTGGAGGGAATCGTTTGATATTACATGTATTGCGTTGCGGGGTGTTTGTTGTATCACAGCAACGAACTCACTGTTGCCTGCTTCTAACTTCTCCATGATCACTACTACGTACTAGACCACGATTACAACTCGGCAGCAAAGGGAGGCAACCGATACGCAACAATCTTACTTTACATGACCGACTTGGCAGAAGAGGATGGTGGAGAAACAGTCTTTGTCAACGCCAAACCGGCCAATGACGATGGTCTGACCTATAAGGAAGCTCTTGCGGAACTACGAAATTCCGAACATGGCTCTCTCTTCAAGCAAAACTCATGGGAGGAAAAAATGGTGGCAAGATGCCGTACTAGTATGGCCATTCGACCCAACTCGGCACGTGCTGTTCTGTTTTACTCGCAGCATCCCAATGGAGAGCCCGATACTGCATCCCTCCATGGTGGATGTCCTGTTATTACAGACACTCCCAAGTGGGCGGCTAATCTATGGGTTTGGAACACTCCGGTATGTTATACATAGTTTGCAAGGAATCGATTCGATTGAATCATTCGTCGCTCGGCTAATTCATCGATTGTTGGTCTCACGAACTTTCTGGTGCCGTTTGCCGTTTGCCGTTTGCTCTGCTTTCCTGCGGTGCTGCTTCCCACCCCCTTTCGATGACATTCGGATGAATCGAATCGAATTCATAACACACACCACAATCCACAGCGAGCTGGTTTTGCCGGTGCTCCCGTGAACGAAAAGCGCATGGCAGCAAAGAAGAGCAAGGGAGAAACACCAAGCATGCCATCAGATACTCCTCAACAGAAGCATGTCCAATTCCAAAATAGTGGAAAAGATCCAGCCTTTGAGAATGCAGAGCTATTCTACATGGATCAATACTGGGGAAGACTGGGTGATGGAGATTCTCCTCATGCTGTCAACTCCTACGAGGGACAAGTTTGGAACATCAAAGTGGATGGAGTCATTAAGAAAACATTTACAGTCGACAAGAAGCCAGTGCAAGTGTATACAATCTAGCTAGTGACTTGGAGATGGCCAACTGCAAGGAAAGAATCATGGATTGACCGAAACCGAGACAACTGGCAACAGGCAGAGCACGAATCGAATCATCACGATGAGCATGAGTAAGGATACATTTGATAGTCTGAATATGCATTGATTGACACATCTACGCGTTGTAGCTAGGCAAACCCCATACTAGCTAGCTAGTAGCAATCAGTTTCCTGCCGGTGATGGGCATGCCCCGTTCCTGGCCGACGTAAATAGTCAGCTGTGCATTCCTTGCAATAACATATAACATGAGCGAAGGATGCACGGCAACACTATAGCTTTATGATAGTCCTCCGGAACGTAGCGGTAGCGGTAACAGCGGGGAACTAGGACATGGTACAGGTATCACCCCAAGCAGGCGACCTTGGCTGGTGGAGACTGTGAGGGACCAAACAATACATCGGAAAGCATCGGATACCAGTAAACCGAAAATAGAGAATCGCTCATGTTTGGACATTCCTTCGTTTTTGCCTACTAGTACACGATCTACTGGCCAGAAGCGACAGCAGTAGTTCGAGCGTTCGGATTCGTGTCCAGCTGCCTATCGGAAAGTGACGATTGTTTCGTTGGGCGATGTCAGTAATAAGCTTCAACTGCAAATGCATGATTTCCGTATTTCTTGGTCAGTGCTTGTGTCCAAAACTGCTTGGTCAGTACTGAGTACAGTCGTAGTGCTTGCGTCCTCCCCAGCTTCCATTTTCCCAGAGCAGTGTCCGTACGAAGTACCCGGTACCTACCAGCGCGCACTTCCGAATGACTTTCTATTCTTTGGTCAGTGCTTGCGTCCTCGACTATCCCCAGAATGCTCCCCGCCCTTTCCCCAGAGCTACTCGCGGCCCAACTGGTTGACTGACCCAACCAGTTGACTCTTGACCGGAACGTCGTGAGGATGGGGTAAAAACGGCAACGGGGTAAATTGTGAGGTTTGCTCGTTGGCTCATTGGCATCTCCAGAGAGGAGTGCTGCGGCATCTCCCGAGAGGAGTTCTGCGGCGTCAATTACTCAGGCTGTGGTTCAAAACCTCTCCTCCCATTTTTTATGAAACTCCATTTTTGGGCATCAGGGGAGTTGGCAGATATTCCCATAGTAGTTTAACCAATAGAGTCAACCTGGCAATACTTTGAGATAGGGAATATATAATTTGGACGTGCCGGTCGCAGTGGTGGTAGTGGCTTGTTTATTTGGTGGCTGTGGGAGTGACGAACGGCCAGCAAAGTAGCGCTGCTATTTCTTGGCTACTTCTCCTCCCACCAATAGGTCGGCTAGTATCTGTCCCCAATATTGGCCTAATTGGGCCCAACCGATAGAACCATGCCTACAGGTTTGCATCCCAACAAGGGTAGAAGAGCCCAACCTGTCACTCCTGTTAGAAGAACCACCAAAATTGACGCTGGAGTTGCCTCATTTGGAAAATTGACAGAGACAGGAAAAACAATGTCAGAGGCATCAAAAGTAATTACTGATGCTCAAAATATTCTTACTGATCGCACCTCTTCTCGAGCACAAAAGAGGAAGGCTACCGAGGAACTCACAGTGGTTAGTCAGTACTTGAAGCAGTCCTCATCTGATATTGACAAGAATTTACAGAAACTTGCTCCATTTCCTGGCTTTGATAATCGCGCATTGGCTATTATTGATAAAGCCAATAAGGAAAACACTCCCACTACTCTCACCAACCCACAATTGCCACCCACTCCCATTGGGAAAGTTCAAGCTATGATTCATGCCAGCCCTACGCCAACAACTACTATTACACCAGCAGCAAGAAAGTTGACCCCAACAGTAGCAGCAGCAAGCAACCGTAGTGCCAATGAATTAATTCATTCACTGGCTCCACCCCCATCCAATGGTTCTGTTTATAATCGACGGGAATGCATAGTGCAATACACGGCTCTTAGCCTTATTCGCGACTCGATCCTAGATAGGGTTTGAGTTCGACTCACATGACTGAGTCTTTCGTGAATAGTCATTGAACAGGGTTCTCATGACCGCTAGTCATACTAGGTCGATGGTGAAACATCGCGCTAGATATTTAGCTGGCGTGGAGAGATTCCACGCTACTAGATAAATGCTAGACGAATCTTCCACGCGTTCCGTTTTTGGATCGTGGAGTGAGTAGGATTGCTACCGCAACCTACTCTATCACACTCTACAGTCTCCCCCCGGGAGTTCAGATCTACGATCCTTTGATTGTGGATCTCTCTCGTTGATTAGTTTTCATAGCTTTCTAATCCTCTCATAACTTTCATTCTCTCAAACTCAAAACACTCGAAAGATCTTTACACACTAGCTTTTAGCGTAGTGCATTTTGTTAACAAAACACAATAGTTTTCAGCTACCCTCAACCTATTCCTCACCATGAAGATGCCAAAGACGCATACACCAGCTTCGAGTCAAGCTGCGTGACAAACCAATCCTTCCTCTCATCGACCTCGATGATGAATGCGAAATCGACGATTCTCGCTCTACCACCTACAAATTCGCACATTCCAGCAGATGCTACAGGCCAAGTACACCTTCAAGGTCCAAATCATAATGATCTGAGACTCCACGTCAGACCATCAAGTGGGCTGGACGTATGGAGAAGGTCTTCGTCGGGTTCGCCATTGCTACGCCTGAGACAAACAACCTCCTCAGGGAGATGACTTCTAGCTCTGCAAAGAGCAGTTACGAATCTATGCTGTGCAGGCCACCGTGAAATACGTTGGAATGCCTTTGCGCCAGATTGCAGTCAACGCGATTCCTCCACCGACATACGTGGCGGTGAAGACGAACCACTTTCCAAGCCGTTCCCAGGCTGCCTGGAACGGAGACAGCTCAGCCTGCTTTGGACGACGCTGACATTCGTTTGGCATAAATGCCTGTATCGAAGCGGTCTGTCCCTACAAGGCTCTTGAAAAGCAGAAACGCTTCATGCGCCGCAAGATGCGTAAGCCTGTGATATGTCTACTCGGGCTTATGTCAAAACCTCAGTCGGATGAACATCCGATGACTTCCTCGTCTACCACCTTTTGGACCCAACCAAACGTTGAACCATGACAAGTCATTGACATTGTTTGTCATGGAATTCACGCTCGTGGATGAAGAAGAGGGACGAACACGACTTCGATCCTTTCTCAGCTCTATCGGAGAAACATTGGATCTGCGAACGCATGGAATCCTCCGAAGACTTTGACAAGGGCGGTGATGCCAAGCAAGCTCCTACGAAGAAGAAACAACAGCAAAAGTACAATGTCTACTCGAAAACGACCACTCTTCCAAGAACGAAGAGAAATGGTGCGACTACCACGAGTCCGCAGCACTCACAAACTGCTGATCATGACTTGAAGAAGCATGGCAATCTCAGTCCTCGTCTGACATATAAAAGCCAACGTACAACAAGAAAAGACTTGGAAACGCAAGTCCGACGACGCCAAGACTACACCAAGAAGGAACTCTCTGTCCTCATGAAGAAGGTTTCCAACGCTGCGGTCAAGGCTGATCGCAAGAAGAAAAGCGAATGCAACCATGTTGCCAAGCGCAAGTCGACAACTCGACAACGAGGACGACTCCTCTGTTGGATCCATCAACATGATGGACAAGAATATGGCGCCGTTGACAAGGCCTTTGCCGAATTCGACTTCAATCATTCGGATGGAGAGATTCCGTCTGAGATTAGGCCAGGAATGATGATTCAACGGAACATGTTCCGATTTCTCATACCTAAGTATGAAGATATCTCACTAAATAGTAAACAGATTTGTTTTGCAACCACGAAGTCTACGGAAATTAGATATTGCTAGCAACTGCTCACCTAGACA